AGGCGCTCGTACGCGGGGCCTAGACGTGCTTGAGGGTTGGTACCGCGGTCCTGGGGTGGCACTTGAGCGGGGAACCCACTCACAAAATTTTGGCGCCGGAGTTTGCTTGGATGCCGAGTTGAAATACCCGGACAGACGCACACACACATACACACACAAACACACATATATATACACATACACACACCGGGGTCGTCACAGTATGTTTTTTTGCATATTATGCAAAAACACATAACAAAGTGCGCTCTACAATTTTACATTTCTTAGACTCGCAGCAATATCTCGAAGTTTTTACTTCGTAGGAGGTACATCAAATCGTAGATTACTGATTGCTCTACTGGCGGAGCCGAACTCTTAACATATTGCATGAAAACAGTTTAACTTTTCATTGCCCACATACTAGAATGTTTTTCCCCAAAGTGGCTACTCTTTCGAAGTTAAATTAATGCAGTAAATGGTCATTTTTTTGAAGTCTCAGTGCTGAGTTTTTTTATCAGAATCATCAAAATTCACTTGTTTAGGTGTACGTCCGGCTTCTGCAGTGCAACAACGTAGACTGACTCGTCTTGGCATTCCGGTAACTGCTGATCTGAACGTACTTTCGGTCGAAGAAAGACGCCGATTTTCCAGACTGAACATCGATCCAGCATCAATAACATGGGGCCGTGTGATGGATACCAATGACAGGCAATTCCTTTGCCCAGCCACAATTATATTTTTTCTTCAGAATAACTTACTGACCCCAAATTACAAAAAACTCATATTTTTCCCACTAAAGATTCGCTTAAAAGTGACAGTAGCTTATCCTTAACTCGCCAGACCACGAAGATCGGATGGGCCTGTACCGGAACATTGCAAGTCCAAAGTCTGCATGTCTTACCTATCTGTCAGTCTTTCTTCACATTATAGAATAACTATTTATTTTCTGAAAGTTCACTTATAATTTTCTGTATATTCTTCAGATTTTTGCGTCAAATTGAAATTGGTCACGGTCCTCTTGAAAAAGGATACATCCGCAGAACTCGTTTCGATATATCCGTTGCTAGTGAGGTCACTGTTTGATACAAGAAATTCATTAAGGAAATAATGTCTGGATATATAAAGGTTGTTTTGAAAAACAAAATCATATATCAAGCGTTTTTAGTAATAATAGTATCTGTTATCAAGGAAATTGACGTACGGAAGTTAACTAGTAAAATGAACAAACAGGCAAATATCAATCTAGTAGTAATCAGCTACGGATTACACGTGATTTTTATTCATTTTGAAGAGAGCCTCAGGTAATTTTTTAAGGTTTTGGTTTTTAATCTCCTGCTTATCTTACGAGCTATGCTTCTTAGGAGAACTGCGCCATCCATGAAGTGTGATTGTAACTGGTCTCAAAACCACCCTTCCTGCTCAGCCTACGAAATGCCGCTTGAATACGATTTGTACGACTGAGACAATAAGGTTTCCTCCGGCTCTGGGTCATTCTCGATCGGTACATAAATTAAAATGACGGACAGTGGTATGCCAGTAGAACTACCCGTGCTCGCCATCTTCATCAATCCCTTCATCAACGCCAGCTTAAGGCACAGCAATTAGCCCAGTAAAGTTAGATACTTTCTTGCATTGGAAAAAAGCTGTAGTTCCTGGCACTTTCTGGCCAATGTTGCCACTTGATTTAGTATGAGACGTGGCCCGATTATAATACGTATTCCAGCTGCGACACACCAGGCTTACAGGCGCAATAATGCATTTTTGCATGGCTTCATTCCGTAGAAAAATTGATTGTACTACTAGAGTGTAACAGCGATGTCGCAATTTGATAATTTGCTGTCCTGTGCGCAGAGTCCGTGCCTAAACAAAAATTCATCATACACCTGGTAGCCCGCATACAAACAGTAAGCGTGCTTGGAAAAATGGTATTTCGTGCCCATTCTGGTTACCAAGTTATTTCGGTAACAACAGCGTCCAAAATTAAATACTCGCTTGGGACACACACGGAACCTACGCGTTTTTTCAAGCTCAAATCGAAACATTACGGTCGCACACAGGCATAGAATATCCTCGTAAAGTTTCAGCTCACTAACGTACCTGGTTGGCAAAATCGCTTTTGTCCCGCGTAATTTTTAACGCATTCAAACTTGCGACACAAGTGTATGCCACAGCTCATTTTATGTCTAAATGCCCGGTTATGGAGAACAAGTGTTCTCGTAAAGTTTGAACGTTATAATCAACTTAGTTTCTGAACTGACATTTTGCCACCGATTGCAAGTCTTTATCGTCGCACTCGTACACGAGATCTATGCGTACGTAACAGCTAAATTTGTAATTTCTAGCCCAAATAAGGACATAAGTTATAATCAACTTAGTTCTCTGTGAACTTTCAACTTTCTATCTTTCTGGTTCCCGAGGTCTTTTCCGCCAAAAAACTGGAATGTTTTTTTGAGGCATCCACGCGTACGCGAGTAGCAATATTAAAAGATGAGGGTCGCATGTGAGGAAGCATACACTTCCGAAGTTTCAACTTTCTAGCTTTTCCGGCTCTCGAGTTAAAAATGGGTGAGAAGTGAGGACACACACACACACACACACTCACAAAAGCAGCCTCTTACCAATATGAATTATTCCAGTTGCACAACATGCAAAGAAAGCAAAATATTGTTGCCCTTATACCAAAAATACCAAGACCACAAGGCAACTGGTTTTGGGATTCTATCCTGGTGATAATACTGGTGTGCTTTCATTGTCGTGGAAACCCACCAGCCAGGAAGCCGCGACAAAGAAAAAGAGAAGAAAAAAAAAGGTGTGCCTTGCCTTGAAAAGCCGACACACAGTAAATGTTGTCAGGCTAAACCTGGAGCGCGAGGTCAGGTGGTGTAATGGTAGCACTTTGCGCCCGAATGCGAAGAGGAGTGGCTCGATTCCCTTCCGGTCCAGAACAGTTTTCGGAAAAAGAGTTCCGTTCACGACACCTATACACCGGATACAACTATGCCAGTGTAAAACGCTGTTCTGCAGACCTCCAACCTGTACTCACCGTCTGTTCAGTGTACATGCACCATTATCGCTGTAATATCATGTAATGCTTACAAAATTTTAGGAACGAAAATATTAAAGATTTTTGTTTTAAAAACAAAAATTGCCGCTCGACAACAAAAAATGAGGCGTTTACTTCGTTTCCGGGTTTCTCCTAAAACATTGCACACATCTTCGTCCACAATTTTGACCGAGTCGATTATTTCTCATATTAACCGAAGAGGCAACAGGAATTGGAATGAGATAGTATCCAATTCGCAGCTGTACTCAAGCGATTTTCAGTTAATGGCAATTTTGGCATTGGCGACAGACTTGGCCGATATGCGTGAGCGAATCGCGAGAATTGTTGTTGCAAACGACATGGATGGCAATTCAGTGACAGCTGACGATATTGGTGTTACCGGTGCTCTCACTGTGCTCATGAAAGATACCATACGTCCAAATCTAATGCAGAGTCTTGAAGGAACACCTGTATTCGTCCATGCTGGTCACTAACAGTTCTTTCATAATTCATTCGTTGATGGTTTACGTGCATCATGGTGAAGGCGCGATTGAAATATTGGGGTGATCACATCTCAATAACAACAGCAGGACTGTTTAACGACTGTCGTAACATTTATTATTCGAAAAGTTAAAACAGTAGGCTGAGGTCTCAAGTACGACCGCATGAAAGTTTTGGCACGAAGGTCATTCGGAAGCCAGAAGACTAGGAGTCTAAAATTTTGGAACGATGTTCCTTGTCCAAAATGTCAAATTTGGCTCTCACGTACGCTCACGTTTCGCTTGCCGCCAAGCGAAATTTTTAGCGGGAAATTTCATAGCTTAGGAACTAGACAACATGTCGACAATTTTTTAGCGCACACCAAAGCGCAAAATATTGAAAATTCTTATCACACAAACGTCTGGTGGACGGAACTGCGCAGAACATATGATCGCAGTGGCGCGCACTGCTATTTGTTGTTATTGAACTGGATAAAACATGTTTCATTGTAAACTAGGAGAAAGTAAGGTGTGCCGCAGCAAAATTTTCGAAACATAACTTCCCTTGGGAAATCGCTACTTTCAGTGCACTGCAGTAAAATGTGATAAGTCTAGATAGTAAAATTGTGATTTTAGGACCGTTTGCGAATATTGCGCATGGGCAAAGCTCGATACTCGCTGATAAGATGGCGTTGAAGCTGGTTGGCCAGAACGGATACGTTATTACCGAAGCTGGTTTCGGCGCCGATAATGGAGTCGAAAAATTTTTTAATATTAAATGCCGCTACTCTCAACTTAAACCCGACGCCGTTGTACTCGTTGCAACAGTTCGGGCGCTTAAAATGCATGGAGGTGGCCCAGCTGTAACACCGGGAGCGCCCTTAAATCACGAATATCTAAATGAGAATATTCCACTTGTTCAAGCTGGTTGCGAATCGAATCTGAAGAAGCAGGTTACAATTTATAATTGAGACCCTAAAGTTAACCCTAAGGATAGTTAAGTTAACCATAAGGACATACTGAGAAAAAAAGTTCCTTTTTTTCCGAAATACTGTCTGTTAGGTTCTTATTTTTAGAAATAATTAATAAAGTTTGAGCACTTCTAATCTTTATGCATTTTTGCTGGCAGCTTTATAACGCTGCTACAGTGAACAAAAACACATACTGTTGAGAGGTCGCCCATGTGTGTGTGTGTGTTCGGGAGCGAGTGAACTTTGTCACCCACTTTCAACTCAGCAACCACGAAACCTGGGAGGCTGAAATTTTGGGGTCATATTCCCACCTCGTATATCACCCTGCGTTATTAAAATCATCGTTCATGCGCGCCTAGATCTCCTATACGGACCGTCGAAAAAATATGCATATTTCTTTAGCCGGAAACGATTCCGGAATCCAGACAAGGCAGAAGACTGAAACTTTGCACGGATATTCTCTATATGTGTATGAGCTAAAATTTTTAAATTCAGCCATTGCGTACGCTTGCGCAGCGCGTACTGTCACGTCAAAGTTTGCACCTGGAATTGTGCTAACTCGAATATTTATCGTCCATGTGAAAAATTATATGCCTAAATTGGGTCTCGACTGGCATTTGCGCTACGACATAAGGCTCTTCACAGATATCTGTAGCGAAGTGGCTATTTCGTTTATCGGACAAAGTGCGTTGCTGGAACTTCGTGAGGATGTTCTATGCTCATGTAAATCTTGATTCAGCTTGGAGGTGAAATCCCTTGTACGCAGACGTAACAAGCAGTTAATTTTTTCCGCTCAAAAGCCAGTGCATTTTAGGGATTTCCCAATCTCTCGATTTCCTTCAAATTTGCTTTTTTCGATGGACGACCGTTCACCAGAAAAACACAACGGGGCTTCATGCAAAAAGTTGATAATCGTGCGTACTGTAGGTCCATGCAACTCCATGATGCAAAACTACCATCCCAACCTATGCACATGAAAACACTAAAACACAGCAAAAATATGTCGACGCTTTAAGCTGTGATGCGGGGACCATGTTTTTAACCATTTGCCGCTACAGGTCTAAGCAAAAACGCATGAACACACCGGGAAGCCCGATGCGTTCTAGTCTGGGGTTACTCACTGTTCATATGATCTCTTGTACGTAGCTGTTAATACCAGTGACAGAAGTCGTTACCGCTACTTATCTCATTTTTTCGAAAGGTTGAAACTTCTCGAAATGATAGCATACTGGTAACAACATCATATGTTGTTAAGGCTATAAATGGCTTCCTAGATGCTCTAAATATTCGTAAACTAAGTTGCTGCCGAAACGAGACAAACGATTCGTTAAAGGATTGATTTTTCCAGACTGTCAGTGAATAAATGGAAAGTTTCTGTCATCTCTTCCTTCAAAAAAAAAAAAACGGTACTCTTTTTCCACCACAGGACGCGTCTCCTCATTTTATATAAATTTTCAAAACTTTTCGATCTGAAAACGGCTGAATGTAATAATAGCCTCGAAATTGATACTTGTAATAGTTCTTTAATATTTGCGCGGCTCTTATTTAATATATCAAGTTTACTTTAAATCGAACTTTTTGCTTTCAGATTGAAAATATAACCAAATTTGGAGTTCCAGTCGTCGTCTGTGTAAATCGCTTCTTAGCAGATACCCAAAATGAACTGGATTTAGTCACATCAAAAGCTCTTGGTGATTTCTTCAATTTTTATACTGAAATCACATAACCAGCCATTTAAGGCTACCCCTTATACCGACATGATTTTTTACTTGCTTTTTTCAACGAGTGGACGAATTCTAAAAATCGAAGAAATTACTTGAAGCTCAAAGTAACCTAAATCCAGGATTTCAGCTCAAAAACCTCCATCCTTTTCTGCTGGCTGCATTCTTTAAAGCAAAACTTTTTGCTGCACAAGTCAACAATTCCGGCTTTCAGAGATTCATTTATTTGGCCAAAAAAAAACAGTTAGATACTCAGGATGCTAAGCTGTACAGTGCTTAGTGCTTGCATGTTACATAATGTGTGCAGTTGCTATGCACTCAGTTCAGTAATCTTTATGGAAAATAGCAATGCGCAGCAGGGTTGCTGGCGCAATCATATGTTTTTGCGCAAACCTTGGAGCAAACGAATTGAATAATGATCGTTTCCTTACAGTTTTACATGTATGCTTGTGTTGGCAATGTTTTTGGACATTTGAGTCAGTCAGTGAGAGAGGACGATTAGCTATCGGTTGGGGCGATAGTACTGCAGTATGAGGTCGGGTGATATCTCATTCTCTAGTGGTTACAGTTTTTTTTTTTACCGAAACGAAGGATGTGTTTTCGTATGTCGGTTAAGAACTTACTAAAATTGCTATGCCTTGCAGTCAGTAAGATAGCTTTCTAAAATAAAGCCTGACTGTGCAAGCCAGGTGGAGCAGAATTTAGCTGCTCTGAAGCTGCCAGAACCGGGATGTTGCAGCTTGAATATTTTATGCATCGATCACGGGGCGTATTATTAAGCAAAAGTTCATTTTCACGACTACAAGCTTAGACAATCAACACTCCTATAAAAATTGCGGCTTCCTGATTAATCTGATTGCAGAGTTAAATAAATGCGCGCCAAAATTACCCAAAATTGAAATTTTATTTGTGCTTAATGTGAGACTTAAATAAGCCGTAAAGCTAAATTTAAAGACTTCAGGTCGTAAATGGGTTGTTAATATTCGCGTTTAGTTTCAGCTTTGTAGTTTGACTGGTTCGGTAAATTACTTTGTTGCAAGTATATTTGGAGTGCCGTACGCTTCTTATTACAAGCATTTTACGAGAATATCTGATCAGGTGGACAGATATTCTCGTAAAATCAGAGCATTCTTCTCAGCTTGTTTCGCGAGTTGGCACTTTGCTTGCGATGCCTTAATCTCAACTTCGATCCGTCCTTATACGTGATGTACGCAAACGTCAATGATAAATTTGAAATCATTAGCATATTCAAAAGTGCGGGATATTCTTGTGAAGTTTCAGTTTCCTTTCTTGTCTGTTCCTCGAAATTGCTTTCCCGCCAATAAATTTACATATTTTCTTTCAGGCGTCCTTACGTATGACTTAAGTGTACGTGACCGCTGATTAGGGATTGGCCATTTCACACGTGGACTAGGAGTACCCTTATGAAAATCCGGTTTCCTTACTTGTTCGATTGCTGAGTTGGAAGCAAGCTAGAAGCCCGAACACACAAACAAACAAGCACACACAAACGCACACCTAGATAAACACAGAAACAGACAATCTTTCGTCAGTGTGCTTTTTACGCGTTTTTGCTGTGCAGCACTTATTGCCGCGAGGACGTCTGTGTTCGGAACCGAGTGAACTTTGTCACCCACTTTCATTTCAGCTATTAGAGAAGATGGGACGCTGAAATTCTGTACATATGCTTCCACCCCGTGTGTCATCCTCCCGTTTTAAAATCTTTGCTTATATGCGTCTAGACCTCGCATGCGGGCCTCCGAAAACGATTTCGCGAGCAAGACAAGGTACAAAGCTGAAACTTTGCAGGTACATTCTCTGTGTGTGTGCGAGCTAAAGATTTCAAATTCAGCTGTCGTGCACGCTTGTGCAGCGTGTACTACTACGTCAAAGTTTGCACTTGGCACTGTGCTAACTCGAAAACTAGCCGGAAAACAGTGGCTGAAATTTTGTCAGCATACTATTGTCCATAATTGAAATAGTATGCCTAAATTGAGTTCCGATTTCCACTTGCGCAACGACTTAGAGCAGTTCAAAGATGTCTGTAGCGAAGAGCTATTTTGTTTATCAAATAAGGCGCGATGCTGAAACTTCGCTGGGATATTTTACTTTCGTGTGCGGCCTTAATTCTGCTTGGAGGTGAAATGCCCTTTAGGTGTTTATGAGAAATATTCAACTTTACCGCAGACTCAGAAACGAGTGCATTTTGCAGCGAACGACCGCTCTCATTCTCTCCCAACATCCAGTTCATTTACATGTTTGGATTTTTTAATGAGCGATGGCTCTAGCAACATTTCCACTTTTCAGTGAAGAGCTGAAATTTTTGTATTTTCAAAAATTTACATTTTTCATTTTTTCAAAAAGCGAGCACTTGTCGGAAGAATGACCGGGGTTCATGCAAAAAACTGATAATCATGTGCCTGGAGGTCCATGCGACCCTATAGTGCAACACTTTCATGCCGGAGAAGACCAAAGCACGGCCAGCAGGAGCTCAAGTGTTAGGGTACAAAGCGGGGATCATTCCTGCCATTAGCGATTTGCGAGTTTAGTGCCAAAACGCATGATCTCATCGGCAAGCCTGGTGCGTTTCAGCCTGGGTTGCATCTGCACAGATACGCAAAAGCGCATGAAAAATGAGAATATTTACTAAAAAAAACTGGTAAGCAATAACTGTGCTGGTTGTGCAGCAACCTGGTCTGGTATTTTTACTTTTTGTGCGTTTCTGCATATTTATGTAGGCGCAAGGAGGCGACCCTGTTTTCCGAGTACTTCCTCGGCAACCGGACAAGCTTTGACTATGAAATTATGTAGGTTGGGCCTCTTGGCCAGAAGCCGTCTCAGAAACACGTTACCAACTCTCACGCTTGTATGGACCCCACACACGGACACGTGAAAGTTTTGGCAGGAAAATTGACAACTCAGAAACTAGGTAAGCTAGGTCATTTTTAATGAACGACCAGTCATTGGAAGTTATACATTTCCCAATGCGCAAATTTGCAGTGATGTATAGTAATGAACGCGCAAGTTAATTGTAAACGTCTGTTTACGCAGTTAGCGATCTGACTGCTTCAAATTTAGCGCAAAAGCTCATAATAACAATGTCAGGCTTGGAGTATTTTTTCATTTATCGATTTAAACATTTTTTAGTAAAATACTGTACTTTTCCAGGCGGTCTTGATAATCACACAATTGGCTGACCGTAACGTGTGCTTTTTTCAGGATATGGGGCACGCGGAGCTGTTGTATCAAATCACTGGGCGCAGGGAGGTGTCGGAGCTGTTAACTTAGCTAAAGCGCTTATCGAAGCTTGTAAAATAAAGCCAAATTTCAGGTCTAGATTTTAAAACATGGCTTTCTCGAAAATTAATAAACGGAGTCAGGGCTACAACTTCATGAAATTTCATTGTGCGCAGGGAATATGCGCACCAGCGGTGCTGTGAAAAATTTTTTGCTTCGTCGACCGCTCACGTATGTTTGTCTGCGGCCCCACAAGATCATTTTTTTCTACGACTGAAATGAACTAATGTCAGATCGTCTTTAGGCATGATTAGTTCTTTTGTCTAGAAGCATGCTCAACACGTACGAGGCGGGAGGAGGCGACCTTCATAATACCGATTACGCTCTGCTGTGGGTTTGCTGCTAAGGGACGAGACACAAATTGCTTTCCAAAACATTCATCAATACATATGATATTAGGCATTTGTTAACATTCGGATCGAATCAGCTCCAGCTGAGCGCGCAGGATGCACTTCTGGATCTGGGCAAAAGCTGCGAAACTTACAATAAGATGGTTTTTATGTGTTTTTGCTGTGCAGCGCTACAGCCAGCAAAAAAGCGTATCGTCGGGAGGCTGTCCGTGTCTGTGTGTGTGTGTGTTCAAAAGCGAGTGCATTTTGTCACCCACTTTCATCTCAGCAACCAGGAAAGCTAGATGGCTGAAACTTTGGGTATATGTTTCTACCCCGTGTGTCTCCTCCCGTTTCAAGATATTCCCCCCACATGCGTCTAGATCTCGCGTACGGGTCCCCTAAAAAAATATGTTGGTGGGAAACGGTTTCGCGAACCAGGCAAGGTAGAAAACTGAAACTTTGCAGGGATATTATTTATGCACGTGTGAGCTAAAGGTTTTAAACTCAGCTATCGAGCAGTTCCTCAACCCAAAAATCGTTAAAAAATCCATCGCAACCCGGACCCGAACGCCAATCGAATATGTAAATGAACATTAGTTAATTTACATACATGAATTTTTTGACAAACGTTCGCTCGAGCAATACTTCCACTTTTTAGTGAACTAGGAATTTGCATTTTTTCAAAAAATTTGCATTTGTCAT